GTGTAGGTGTATGTGCCCTTGTGTAGGTGTATGTGCCCTTGTGTAGGTGTATGTGCCCTTGTGTAGGTGTATGTGACCTTGTGTAGGTGTATGTGCCCTTGTGTAGGTGTATGTGACCTTGTGTAGGTGTAAATGACCTTGTGTAGGTGTATGTGACCTTGTGTAGGTGTATGTGACCTTGTGTAGGTGTATGTGCCCTTGTGTAGGTGTATGTGCCCTTGTGTAAGTGTATGTGACCTTGTGTAGGTGTAAATGACCTTGTGTAGGTGTATGTGACCTTGTGTAGGTGTATGTGACTTTGTGTAGGTGTATGTACCCTTGTGTAGGTGTATGTGCCCTTGTGTAGGTGTATGTGACCTTGTGTAGGTGTATGTGACCTTGTGTAGGTGTATGTGCCCTTGTGTAGGTGTATGTGACCTTGTGGAGGTGTATGTGACTTTGTGTAGGTGTATGTGCCCTTGTGTAGGTGTATGTGCCCTTGTGTAGGTGTATGTGCCCTTGTGTAGGTGTATGTGACCTTGTGTAGGTGTAAATGACCTTGTGTAGGTGTATGTGACCTTGTGTAGGTGTATGTGACTTTGTGTAGGTGTATGTGCCCTTGTGTAGGTGTATGTGCCCTTGTGTAGGTGTATGTGCCCTTGTGTAGGTGTATGTGACCTTGTGTAGGTGTATGTGCCCTTGTGAAGGTGTATGTGACCTTGTGTAGGTGTAAATGACCTTGTGTAGGTGTATGTGACCTTGTGTAGGTGTATGTGACTTTGTGTAGGTGTATGTGCCCTTGTGTAGGTGTATGTGCCCTTGTGTAGGTGTATGTGCCCTTGTGTAGGTGTATGTGCCCTTGTGAAGGTGTATGTGACCTTGTGTAGGTTTATGTGACCTTGTGTAGGTGTATGTGACTTTGTGTAGGTGTATGTGACCTTGTGTAGGTGTATATGACCTTGTGTAGGTGTATGTGACCTTGTGTAGGTGTATGTGACCTTCTGTAGGTGTATATACCTTGTGTAGGTGTCTGTGACCTTGTGTAGGTGTATGTGCCCTTGTGTAGGTGCATGTGCCCTTGTGTAGGTGTATGTGCCCTTGTGAAGGTGTATGTGACCTTGTGTAGGTGCATGTGACCTTGCGTAGGTGTATGTGACCTTATGTAGGTGTATGTGACCTTGTGTAGGTGTATGTGACCTTGTGTAGGTGTATGTGACCTTGTGTAGGTGTATGTGACCTTGTGTAGGTGTATGTGACCTTGTGTGGGTGTATGTGACCTTGTGTAGGTGTATGTGACCTTGTGTAGGTGTATGTGACCTTGTGTAGGTGTATGTGACCTTGTGTAGGTGTATGTGACCTTGTGTAGGTGTATGTGACCTTGTGTAGGTGTATGTGACCTTGTGTAGGTGTATGTGACCTTGTGTAGGTGTATGTGACCTTGTGTGGGTGTACTCGTAGCTTTAATTTAGCACATTTTCACTATATATCTTGTAAGTCCTCTCTCTCCAAACTTTCCACTTGCTTGTATAATTCTTAAATAGTCCCTAATTGTCTATTTATTCTACCTATGCTATTTATGATAAAATGTTCAAGAAATGTATATATACTAGCATACATTATGGTGCAGGATGTGTATAGGATGTTGGGAGACAACGTGTGTACCCGGCTTTCAAAGTATATTTGATAGATCCACAGGATTAGAAATCCTTCTGCACTGGCCAATTAAGGGATAAGAGGCATGCCCAGTAGCTAATGCTCAACCCCGTGTGGACCTAGTAGCAACCAGCGAAAAGGTGGGGCCAGGAGCTATGAAACGACCCCTGCAACCACAACTAGGTGAGTGCACACACACGCACACACACATACACACACACTAATCGACATGTGCCTAGGACAAAATGGTAACTAACACACGCGCGCACACACACACACACACACACACACACACACACACACACACACACACACACACACACACACACACACACACACACACACACACACACACACACACAAGACCAAACGAACGAAGGACTCACATGTAAGGACCCACTATAGGTGAGGGGAAAGTGGAGATAATGGAAGAATAGATGGGGGAGAGAAAAGAATTACAGAGAAAGGAAAAGAGTCGCAATTAAACTCAACAGCAAGTGCATTGAAAAGCACTGTGTGTAAGGCATGTGCTGATGCTCTTCGTCTCTCCCCCTCAACAAGACTGGTCGGGCAAGTTCGGCAAAACATCGGACTGTGTTGTGGCCCATAGAAGATAGGAAACGGGATATAGACTAAGGGTACAGAGGCTGCAGACGTCAAAGAGACAGACCCTGGGATGAGCATAGTACCCAGTATAACGCCAGAGGTTCGCAGCAGCCAAATAATTTCTGCAGCCAATAGTTGCCTGGTAATTCTTAGGGTAGTGTTCAGGAATCTTAACAAAGAAACATTCTGGACCTTTCATACGACATAAATCAGGCCTATCTTGCAGAACTGGTATGGAACACGCATCTGAAAAAGCATGTAAGAAATTGAGGTATGCAGAGGTAAGCAACAAGGCTTATTCCTGAGCTTAGGTGCACGAGCTACGAGAAGAGACTAGCGGAACTGAACCTAACGACACTGGAGGACAGAAGAACCAGGGGACACATAACAACATACAAAATACTCAGGGTAATTGACAAGGTAGACAAGGATAGGCTTCTCTGAGAGGTGAGAAACGGGAACTCTGGAACATGTTGGAAGTTATAGTCACAAATGAGCCATAGGTATATCAGGAAGTATTTCTTTAGTCTCAGAGTATGAAGGTGGAATGATCTTGATAAGAAGTGGTGGAGGCAGGCTCTACATACGGTTTTAAGAACACGTACGATATGGCCCACGAGGCTTAGACGTGGAGAATCTGAAGAGTGGCAAGTTAAAGAGGCAGGGCCAGGATCTGAGAATCAACCCCTGCAATACACACGTTGAGAGTATAAGCAAAATCTCATTACAACTTGTCACCATTGTAAGACTATTCCACTTAAAGCAGTCATTGTAAGAAGAGCAAGATAATGTTTGAAATGCAAGCAAGGTAAAAATAAATCCAAAATTTCGAACAAGAAAACTGTAACTTTAATATAAATTAAGAACCAACAGACCACAGACTCAAGACCTGATCACTATTGAATTGTTATATCTTTTATTACGAGTTTTCAGCTCATGAATAAAGGTATTTATCCAGCGGAGGACGGCTAGTTCCGCCATCCGCCCTATGGGAGTGTTGGTGGAGGTCCGTACGTACCCCCAGTGAGAGCGAGAGTGGAATGTTCCGCATTATCATATCCGCTGGCAATTAGACGTTTGTTTACTCTTATACACCTAAAGCAGAGAGAAAAACACACACAATGCATCTGTTTTTAGTGGAATAGTTGGTAAAGGAGTGGAAATAGTTAGTGGCATGACCCCGTTGGAGAGCGGTTTCTCCAGCGGCGTTTGACAAGACCAGTGGAAAGCGAGAAGCCTGTACACCACTTCACTTTTGCTTTTCTCGGACACGGAGGCCGACAGGTGCTGTTTCACCCTCAGGACGAATGTGTCTCTCAACGTAGACAATATGTATGGTAGCTGTCTCCCGTCCTGTACATTATGTAAAGTTGCTATCTATCGGTTCGGGCAGTGTAGACAGTGTACTTTGTACTTCCTGAGTGGCGGGATAATACCTACCTCATCCTCATCCACAGAAAGAACCTGTCTCTCGACCTGGACAGTAGCTGTCACCCATAGCAGGAACCTGTCTTCTGACCTGGACACTGTGAATGATAGTTGTCTCACCCACTATGACAGATCACAGTTGTCTAACTTTCCTCTAAAACTCGCAACATCATAAATTCTGCACTTGGAAAATTTTGAGAACAATTCTGGTATTGTTTATGATATAGAGTCTGTGAACCTAATCTGTATATAAGTAGTAAACACAGAAACTTTGATACAACTATAGATTCAAAATCAAGCATATATTATTCTCACTTTGATACCTCAGTACTACAAAATAGTTTTAATTTTGAGTCTTGGTATAATCACATATTATCGTCACTTCATTATGCTTATACACCTATGTTATATCATGTTAAATTTTTTGATGGCACTTATGTCAGACAAACAGTAACTTGAAGTGCATGAGACGGACTTTTCATTATTTAGATTAATTGGAAAGGTATGGTGATACCGACAGTATGTAGATCAAGACTCATATGCACAGTTTAAGACATGAAGGGAACGTTTCCCTCACAAGTGGCTCCTTCAGAAGGCACTTGTGGCGAAACGTTTCCTTAATAAATGTCTTGAACTGTGTAAATGTGTATGTATCTCCATTATTCATATCAAACATTGAATGTACTACTGCTTTAACGTCTTGTGTCATGCTACACTACCATGTTGTTGGTTTCCAGTGGAGGTGTAAGATGTGACACTGACGAGGTGTAAGATGTGACACTGACTGGAGATGTAAGATGTGACACTGACTGGAGATGTAAGATGTGACACTGACTGGAGATGTAAGATGTGACAATGACTGGCGATGTAAGATGTGACACTGACTGGAGATGTAAGATGTGACACTGACTGGAGATGTAAGATGTGACATTGACTGGAGATGTAAGATGTGACACTGACTGGAGATGTAAGATGTGACACTGACTGCAGATGTAAGATGTGACACTGACTGGAGATGTAAGATGTGACATTGACTGGAGATGTAAGATGTGACACTGACTGGAGATGTAAGATGTGACACTGACTGCAGATGTAAGATGTGACACTGACTGCAGATGTAAGATGTGACACTGACTGGAGGTTTGAATCAGCTGTTAGTGGGCGGGGCTGAGCATAGCAGACGCCATCATGACGTCACTCATCACACACTTTAAACCTGCCTCACACACATAATCTCCTTCACTCTCCTCCTCACACCCTCTCCTCTAATGATTCGTAAACAACAATGGTTTAAATACATCCTGGTGTGTGGCGCATCAAACACAAAAGCTTACTTGTTATTAGAAGAGTCAGTATGAGATGAAGAGGTAAGACATCCATGTTCTTGGGTATGTCGTGGAGGTGGTGCCGTTGTTGAAGTCAAACTGGTGGTGTTGGAGGCACTGTTTTGAGGCCGTGGTTGAGCCTAGCGTGTACTGGTGGAGGTTGTGATGGTGAAGGAGAGAGGAGTCACCTATAACCAGCACCGAGTGTGGGCTATGACTGGTGTGGCGACCCTGTCCGCGCCACGATATACCTCCCACCCCAGCCTTCACTGCCACCTGACCTGCACCACTGACCTACACTCCCTCTTCCATACACACACGACCTCCACACCCCCTCCATACACACACACGACCTACACACTCCCATCATACACACTCCCATCATTCACACTCCCATCATACACACCCGACCTACACACACTTTCCTCTGTACATATAAGCTAGTCACGATTAACTCAGAAATTGGACAATGTTTCGTTCCATCATGAACCATTATTAAATGACAGAAAAATGGAGGAACCCTAATGTAAGCTTGCGTGAAGAGGTTAGAAGACAGCCGAGGTCAGGAGAGGTGAGGAGAAAGCTTAAACGAGGTCAGTTCACGAGTGTTACGAGATTACAATATTTGACACTGTACTAGGAAAGGCGAACATCAGCAGAGACAAAACCGGGTCTAAGGTAGATGCTGAGTATTTTGTGTGTAATGGTTGACTAATAAAACACCGTCTGTGAAGGCTTCAAGGATATTACAGATTGTTTGACCAGAGTAGCTTATAAAATGAATATTGGTGTCTTAACATGACAGGGGAATGTTCTTGGTATTAACTAGGCTACTACGTTTTGAGGTAGCCTAGTTGATACCAAATAAAACAAATTAAAGTTATATTGAAATTTTTATGAAACTATAACAAATCAAGGCTATATTGCACCTTTATTAACATAACAGATCAACGTTATATAACAACTTTATTAACAATACAAGAAATCACTTTTCTCTTTCTCCATCTTCATTCTTTAGGTACTCTTTATTTATATTCTTAAACTGAGTTATACTAAGACTGACCTTGACATCAACAGGCAACCCATTCTACCCCTTTATCACTGCGTGACTGCATAATGAAAGGTATTTGATACCTGTCCAGGAGATTGTACTCACCTCTCCAGGTACCATACTGGCTTTAGTACCTAACCTTGACTTTTTGTGCATTAAGATACTCTGAACACTTCCTAGCAGTTCTACATACATGATTTTCACATGCTTCACTCTGCCACATTAATCATTTTCAGTTGTTGTAATTCATCTTGGCCTACATGTTCTCCTGGACGCAGGTCCAGGATGAATATCACCATCTTATTCTGGATAATTTGTAGTCTGTTTCTCAGTTGTTGTTTTTTTTTTCAGTAATCTACATGACATTGCGTACCCGAGCAGGTGGGCACTGTGCCTGTGTGCATAGGAACTTTAACCTAGTATTTGCTCTTATTTTGTAATACATTGTTCACTGTCAATTTTGATATGCATAAATCAAAGGGTATTCCCAAATATTTGACCGAAGTCACTATTAAGATGGGTTCCAGTTACACAGTATATTAATATTGCATTTTTCAGTTTTCTTTTTGGGCCAGATAGTATGGCCATTCTATTTTTCCTAAATATGGCGACGGTTTGTTATCGACTAACCATTGGCCTCAAGAGCCTAATTCAAGACAGTACATTGGCTGTTTTACTCTTTGGGTCATAACCCGAGACTAGGCGAGCACGGTCATCCGCATACAATAGGAGTTAACACTTAGCACTAATAAGCATGTCATTGACATAGCACAGAAAATAGAAGGGCACCCAAAATACCTCCTTGTTGAAGCCCGCATGCTATCAGCAGGGTTTCTAATTGTGCTTTATTGCCCCCCTAACTACCCCACCTCTCTTTTCCCCTATATATGCAACCCCCCCCCTTAATTTTCCTTAACATCTTCATATTGCCTCACCTACTCTCATCCTTCACTGCCCACATAAACAACCAGGAGTGATCAGCAACTTCGTATCCACCTACCATCCAACCTCCCTCCGTCACCCAGGCCAGTGCACCCTTATTTTAGTGATGATGGTGAAGGTGCATGCTCCCTAACCCTTTACCTCACACCTCCCTAAAAGTGAATAGTCAACTTCGGTTTCGTTCTAACATACGCCTCCACGCTAATAAAAATCTACAAATCTAATCATTCATTAACTCAGTCAACTCCATTTGTTCTTAATTATTTTCACTTTCTGAACTTAGACGGATATTGAGAGGAGTGATCATATTCCTTCTTATATTATCTTCCAGCCACCATGTGGAGCTTAAACCTCTCGTGTGCGGACAGTCTAGTATCCTTCACTTATTATTAGGTCCCAATTCAATCTACCAACAGATGACAAGTGTTTCAGTGACCCCATCCTGAACTGTTCAACTTCCTGTTTCTGGCCGCCGCACCTCCCTAAGTATATTACACTTCTCCACTTATCCTTCAACGAAAAAGAGGAGGGATGACGATGCTGGTTGAGGGTTCTTGATTCAAGGAACTAGAGCTACACTCACTGTTGTACCCAGTCTTGAGTGCCGCTGCAGGTGGCAGTTGGAGCACTCAAAGTAGCACTCTGTTCCCCATTCAGCATCTCCATTAGCGAGGGTTTGCATTGTTTTTCTCTATTAGACTGCAAAGTTTGCTATAACATGGATCTCCAGAAATTTTTTTTCACAAATACGCACCTCTGTGGTCCCTCGACCATGGTCCAGCAGTCTGTCATATAAAATATGTAGAGTGGGGTTGTACCGGTCCTGCCGTGCTATTGGTAGCTATCTTGAGGTTTTTTTTTGTACATTTATGGGACGCGCTAAACTTGTTTGAGTCATTCATGGTCCAGCAGTCTGTCATATAAAATATGTAGAGTGGGTTTGTACCGGTCCTGCCGTGCTATTGGTAGCTATCTTGAGGTTTTTTTTTGTACATTTATGGGACGCGCTAAACTTGTTTGAGTCATTCAGTGCAAGGAAAGGCTAAGGCTCGATCCTCCGTCCGTTAATTACGAGTGCCTCCCTATACTAAATATATACTTTTCTTGATCCAAGAAAACAAGGACTCAAGCAGATTGTTATGCGAACAGGTCAACGTACAGTACTTGTGAGTGTGATTACGCCTCTAAACACCACTTGACCTGGCTCTCACTCTTCTTATGGCTAGTGAGGAATTAACTAGCTCTGTTCTCATGGAAAAATAGCCAATACTGAGACCAGTTGCCTGGTTTTACTCTGCGTTTACCTCTTAACATACAGACAAGGTTGATAAGTAAGATATATGCAACAGTTAGGTATCTTTATTCTGAAAAGTTTATAAAAGTTTCTTCAGTCGAGTACAGAAGAGTTAACAGAAGCAGTACAAATGTAAAGACGATGTCATCAGTCCATCACCCTTGAAGACGTAGTTTTGAGGTGGTTAGTCCCTCAGCCTGGAGAAGAGTTTTGCTCCATAGTCTGGAACAGTGTTCTAGATGGATGGAGCAAAACCATCACAATGTTTCAGACTGATTACACCTTTACGTCTGTACTGCTTCTGCCAACTCTTCTGTACTCGACTGAAGAAGCCTACTGGGTAGGCGAAACGTTTCGGAGTTAAGATACCTAGCTGTTGCACATGTATCTTACTTATCAACCATTATCATACACAAGCAAGGTATGCAGACCCAGGCAAAGGTAGTTATTTGCTATGACAGAAATGTATAGAGACAAGACAAGTTGCAGGACAAGCTTTTATGAGACAAGGTTTATCGTTTCGCTCTTCACAGTTGAAATGTCCTAGTAAAAGATTATTCTGAAACTTGTGCCTTTGTTTGCATACTTATCGGTAATATCACATTTCACCAATGTTCAAAAGAAGCGGGACATTATTTTGCTGGGGTTTTCAAAAGGACACAGTCGTCTCCTGACTTCTGCCAGTCCAGACCAGGGCAGGAAACCACACCGTTGAATTTTACCTCTCACGAGGATAAGATAAGATTTGCTCGGATTTTTAACCCTGAGGGTTAGCCACCAGGATAACCCAAGAAAGTCAGTGCACCATGGATGACTGTCTTATTTCCATTGGGGTCCTCCAATCATGGTCTGTTCAACGTGTTTGTGACAACAGTATATACTTTAATAATTTAAAACTTGCTCAAAAAGATATATTACCTAATCACATCTCAAAACTTATGCGACAGCAATTTGAAAAAAGAGAATTATTATTCAAGTCAATAATCATCTTGCCAAAAAGTGGGACACCAGAGATGTACTGCTAATCACGAGAACAATGGATCTCAAACAGCTCCGGGTCAGTCAGATCATTGGTGATCAGGTTAAGAAGCCCACAGTACCAGGACACTGGCTTGGCAGTAGAGTTGTAGGATGTGGAACAACCACAACTATACTACCGCCTAGCGCCTTGGTATTGTGGACTACTTAACCATATCAGTATCCATACAGTAGATAAATAAATCTCCTCTCTCTCTCTCTCTCTCCTCTCTCTCTCTCTCTCTCTCTCTCTCTCTCTCTCTCTCTCATTATATATGTATATATATATATATATACACATTGAGTGTTTCCCACCAAGGCAGGGTGGCCCGAATAAGAAAAACTTTCATCTTTCACTCCATCATTATCTTGCCAGAGTCATGCTTATACTACAGTTATAAAACTACAACATTAACACCCGTCCTTCAGAGTACAGACACTGTACTTCCCATCTCCAGGACTCAAGTCCGACCTGCCGGTTTCCCTGAATCCCTTCATAAATGTTACCTTGTTCGCACTCCAACAGCACGTCTAGTCCTAAAAAACATTTGTCCTCATTTGCTCCTATCTAACACTCTCACACACGCTTGCTGGAAGTCCAAGCCCCTCGCACACAAAACCTTTACATGGGGAAATGGAGAGGAATCCTTCCTCTGTAAGCCATGCGTGTCGTAAGAGGCTACTAAAATGCCGGGAGCAAAGGGCTAGTAACCCCTTCTATATAAATTACTAAATGTAAAATGAAAAAAAAACATTTCTTTATCGCATCACCCTGCCTCGGTGGGAGACTGCCGATGTGCTAAAAATATGTATGTATGTATATATATTAAGATATTAATTGCTTTACCCCACCCAAATAATCGTTATCAAACGCTGCCATACACTCACCACTAAGCACCTTCACATATTAGGTACAGAGGCTGAGGACCCTCAATCAGTGTACATGTACTC